TCCATGGACCAATAATTTTGTCCATGAATAGAATACAGCTAATCTAGCAACCAAACAAACCAGAGAATACATAGTAGTATATTATAAAAACAAACGGGAAGCAGTTCATTGTAGGATTCAGAAAACGTCACGTAGTTGAAGAAAGAAGGTGCTAGTTTACAGTATAAAACCTCCATTTCACCTCAAAGCTCACTTCAATATTATCCACGATGAGCTCATTTTTATTTTCTTCTTCTCCAATTTCCAAACTCCAGTGGCGCGCGAACCTTAACCCGAAACCAAATCTTCCGATTGTTCCTCTTCGACTCTCTCTTCTTCGTGGCAGCTGCTATTCGCGGAGATTATCTTGTAACCTTACTCAACATGGTCTCGATTTGGAGGAAAGTGTGGAGAAAGATGAAATCCCTCAATTTCTCGATTTCTCTGCAGAGGAAGAGCCGAATTTGGACGAGGGAAAGATTTTTTCTCCTTCCAAAATGTTGAGGAAGAAGAAAAGAGACGAAGAGAGCTTGGACGATAGGTTCAAGCTCAGAAATGGAAAAGAGGTTAACGCATTACCTTATATTCTCTCTTCTTCTTCCTCGCCCATTGATTTAAGTGGATAACGTTTGCTTCACTAGTTGTTGTTACTTGGAAACGGAGAAGAGTTCTTACTTTGCTTCCCTAAATTAGAAGAAATTGGTATAGATTTGCCTGAGGATTTACTGTTTTGAGTACTAAAGAAGCATAAATCATTTGTAATTTCCAGGTTTTTGAGGAGAAGGCATATCTAGTGGGAGTGGAAAGAAAGGGTGATGGAGAATGTTTTTTTAGTATAGAGGAATCCCTTGAGGAACTAGAACAGCTTGCGGATACTGCTGGGCTTATGGTGGTTGGTTCTACCTATCAAAAGTTAGTACTTCTGTTTGTTTATGCATTGCTTTTTGATGAGACTGGATTCTAGTAGGTCTCTTGGGATGCTAAAGTCAATGATTTTTTGATGGTATACCACAGGCTAGCTTCCCCAAATCCTAGAACATACATTGGATCGGGAAAGGTCTCAGAGATAAAAACCGCAATTAGTGCATTGGACGTTGAGACTGTGATATTTGATGATGAACTTTCACCAGGGTAACGTTTCTGTGTAACTTTTGTTTTTAGTTAAGACGTATAGCTGAAGTTTCCCAACATTTATAGCTACTATGTTTCCTCTTTCACAAATTGTAGCATGTCTTGGTCATTCAGCTAATATTTACCAAAGTGGTCTTTAGATTGTTCTAGTATGTAGAATTTGCATGCTCTTTCTTGTTTCCACTCTAGTTTGTCAGCATGTGAATTGGGCATGTATTTCATCTTCTTATTACTTCAGGCAATTGCGGAACCTGGAAAAAGCCTTTGGTGGGGATGTTCGAGTTTGTGACCGCACCGCCCTTATCTTGGACATTTTCAACCAAAGGGCCGCAACTCATGAAGCAGCTTTGCAGGCAAGTTAAAGCATATATATATAGAGATGACTGTTGTTAAGCTTTTTTTTAGTAATGCTCTTTTAAGAAACCATGTACAACATTGGCTCAATTTGGAATTGTTTCCAGGTTGCTCTAGCACAAATGGAATACCAGTTACCACGATTAACTAGAATGTGGACTCACCTTGAGCGTCAATCAGGTGGCCAAGTTAAGGGAATGGGAGAAAAACAAATTGAAGTTGATAAGCGAATCCTGCGTACTCAAGTAAGTAAAAATATTTCTGCAGTTTTTAGCCTGTTTTGCTGCTGCTCCTCGTTTGTCAAGAAATGGTTTGTGACACAGTTTGTGATTATATCTTTGATGAGTGGTTTCTTAGGTTCTGTCTTTGCTCAAGGTTTTTCTGTATAGGTCCATTAAGATGAAAGTATATTCTGAACATCTTTATATTGAATTGACCAGATTGGAGTTCTCAAAAAGGAGTTGGAATCTGTTCGAAAGCATCGAAAACAGTATAGAAGCCGGCGTGTTGCGGTACCTGTTCCTGTTGTATCTCTGGTAAGTACACCACAGTATGTTAAACTCGTCGAAATTGACCTACTTCATTTTATATGTGAAATGTTTTATTCCCATTGTGTTTTAGGTTGGTTACACAAATGCTGGAAAGAGCACACTTTTGAACCAATTGACTGGTGCTAATGTTCTAGCTGAAAATCGTTTGTTTGCGACCCTTGATCCAACTACGAGAAGAGTTCAGGTCAGTGAAGTTTGTTGGAAGAGCAGATCTGCAGTTCTTTTCTTTTCTGGGAGACAGTTGTTTCTTTTATTATATGCTACTGAAGTATACATATGTGATAGTCCCCTGATAGTCACATTACCTAACAGATGACATATTTAACATAATTGTTCTGCGCAACCTGTATTGCCATCTTGAAACTTTTCTATCAAACATATTATATGTCAATATTAAGTTATTGACATGTCAAAGTTTTGACATGAGATTTGTTTTCTGGGTCCTTTTTGGTCAGATGCATCATGGGAAGGAGTTTCTTCTCACAGATACCGTCGGATTTATCCAAAAATTACCAACAACCCTGGTAAGGTCCTAATTAATGGCTAAAACTTTATTATAACCATGTGCCTGCAGCACTTTGTTAATACTCCCATGAATGTATCTTAGAATCAAATTGGAGAAGGCTTTGTGTCAACGTGGTATGTAACTTGGCTGAAAAATGTGTCTTGCAGGTTGCTGCTTTCAGAGCAACACTCGAAGAGATATCAGAGTCATGCCTTTTGGTGCATGTTGTTGACATCAGGTTTGGTATCTTAAAATCCTGGTTAAATTGGGTCAATCAATCAGATGTCATTATAATTCCACCTCCTGATGATAATATGCTTGTGAAATGTTTAGCCACCCATTGGCAAATCAACAAATAGAAGCTGTGGAAAAGGTTATGTCTGAACTCGATGTTTCATCAATCCCAAAATTGATTGTGTGGAATAAGGTAATGTATAGTGTAGAGACCAATGTGATTGTATATCTATTCAATCTCTTGCTGTATATGCAAAATAACGTAAGGAACAATTATAATACTCTTTAATTTTTGGTTAGGTTGATAGAGTGGATAATCCTCAAAAGCTCAAGCTGGAAGCAGAGAAAAATGGGGATGTAATTTGTATATCTGCCCTGACTGGAGAAGGACTAGACGAATTCTGCAATGCCGTTCACGAGAAGCTCAAGGTTTCACTTGTGTCAAAATGTTTCGATATTTGTTGGTTTCATGATTGTGCCCAATTATAATTTTTTAAAACTCTGTAACAGGATTCAATGGTTTGGGTTGAAGCCCTTTTACCATTTGATAAAGGGGATCTTCTAAGCACCATACACACAGTTGGAATGGTGGAAGAAGCTGTGAGTAGATGACCGACCTTAATTGGTTTCCTTATTATCTATTCAGATAACTCGTATGATTCTCATGTCTTGTGTTTGTTGCGTATATAGGAATATACAGAGAACGGGACGCTTATCAGGGCACATGTTCCGCTTCGTTTTGCACAGCTGCTTAAACCTATGAGACACTTGGTCAAAGATACGTCCATATGAAAGAAAGGGTGAATCAGGAGCATAGCCAGTACCTGAAGGTCTACCTCTTGCTGAGAATAGTAGGTCACATGTGTTTGGCAGAAGAAGTTCAAACAACCTCTTGAACATACACCACAAAGACTGATAGTAAAAAAAAAGAGTCCATATATTCACAAGGAAGATGAGCTTGAAGCGTACGTGATACCGTGAACTGGCACACCTCCTTTTCCGAAAAAGCAAATGTTATTTCATCAGTGATCACCCTTTTTGTACAGAGAGCATCTGATTTGGAAATATGAGTTGCTATAACTATTTCACCTAACCAAAACGGTCGCTTTGCTCGGTATATGATTTACTTAAACTAACAAACCTAGCATACATCTACACTTCAATGACTCGGAAATAATCTATTCTCAAACTTTAGAGTTTCTCAAAACTGAGAGGAAACATAAACGCTACGGTATTCAACAGAGGAAAAATGCCTAATATAGCATGACACACTGGCTTGGAGATTCACTTCTCTAGATTATCTCTGTCAAGGGACTCGCTTCGATATGCGAGGGTTGTCCGAAGCTAGAGTACTTGGACTTGTTTGCTGAAGTTGCTTAAGGAGGTGAAGACGCCAGCCTAGCTGTTTATGTGCCAAGGGGAGGGGATGTGGCTCAGATCGAGAGGTACGGGCATTAGAGACTCTATGACGAGAGATTCGATATACAAGCCATGAGGTTCTGATTTTCATTTCACTAAGCAATGTCCTGTAACAAAGCAGCCTATAGTTCTGACTTGGTCAGGTTGTTACATGTGATATAACAGCCAAACCGGTTCTGTGATGTGCTATAAGTGCTCTGTGCAAAAGGAAATGGATCAAGCAAATTTTTTTTTTTTTGGTTTGATAACCTTGAAAAAGACCAAACTGTAGAGCTCACAATCTCAAGCATTCAAATTCTCGTTACATTACGAAGGCGCTATACTATCTACTACATCAATTCTTGTAGGGAAAACACACAAAAAAGAAAAAAAGATTACTTTGGAAGGAGCCTGACACAAGTGTTGCGGAAGCAGATGTGGCGGTGCGAGGCCTTGTGTACCTTGCCCTTTCCCTTATGAAAACTCCGAGCTTCCTCGTTACACCAGCTTCGTCATCGTTGTGACCTGAACACAAAAGAAGAGACTGAGACAAGAACAGGAATAAGAAGATCGATAGGATGAGTAAGCGTTTGATGTCACCCATCTCTGCTATTAAGATAAGAAAAGTCCATATTTTAAAATATATGAAATTTTATACAAAACACGGAGGTATATTTACTTATGAATACCACTTTATCTCGTGGACTGAAAACTGAAAAGCACCGTACTAGATTCGACCATATATGTTTCAGCAGTTTGTATGAATATGCTACGCTCTCAAAAAAAGCATGTTCATTAAAAAACACAAAATTGAACCTTTCTCAATTCAACTCAAAATTGATTATATGATGATTACTCAAAATACCAGCAATTTGATAACGTGCATTATTCTCTTTCTCTTTCTTTGTATTATAAGTGACATGAAACACTTTTTGTTTGTTTAGAACAGAACAATGCAAGAAACAAATAACTAGTTTTCAAACTCACAAGTAAAGAGATGGTGCAAAAAGCATGAAAAAGCTGAAATCCCAAATAGAAACCAGGAGGATGATAATTGACTAGCAGTTAGATTCGAAATAAACAAATCTGAAATCATCTCTTTCTTTCCTTGTGCGCGGTTGGTTGATTTGCACAAAGCTCGGAAGATAAGGAGAAGAGCACACTAGTGCAGGATAAAAAGGTGGCATGTATTTGGCGCAGTCAACGGCATATGTAGCTGCTCCTAGACGCACAATTGTAAGACTCGAGTTATCTCGACTTGATTGAATAAATCTACCTTTTTTATAGATATATCATCAATGAACAAAGCTTGGAATCCATTGTCATGAACCCTAAAAACTGATGCCTTGTCGATGCCGCTTTACCCAAAATCCGTTCTTTGGATATCGCGTCCCATAATTTGCAAGTGGATCGCACATCTCTCAGAGATGTTGTCGGAATGTTCGTGAGTATCTTCTCACCTACAAGCTTCGGTGGAAGATCTTGCATCGTCGTCAACGACATTCTTCCAACTTGAAAACCCAAGAGGCTGCGAGCAAATAATTAGGGTTTTCTCTCTCTCTATATATGTACTCTCAATGTAGCCATAATATTCTCAAAATGTGTCTTCTATGCCTCTTTTTTCACTGTCTGCGAGAGAATAAGTGATGTGGCATCGCTCTTTTCAGAAAAACAAAATTCACCACCCTTTCATTCTCTTGAAAAAAAAGCAAACTTCATGATCTTCCAAAAAAATGCTTATTAACAGGATTCCTTCCAAGTTCATATATGGCTCACAAATCCATGAAAACCCCTCAAACCAAGACAAAAGCTAAACAATACATATGCTCAGTATGATGATTTTGTTATGCTTCCATCAAGTTCTTTAAGTTTAATCCTACCTTCAACTTGTAATCTTGCCCTAACACTGGACTAATTCAGCATAAAAGAAAAGAAAGAAAGAGAAAGCACCAGCAAGACGACGACGCTCAGGTGTTATGTACCAAATAGAGTAATGGTTATTGAGATAATATTCAGTTAAATTTTTAGTAGAGGAATAGCCATAAAGTAAATGGGAATATCAACGGTGATGAGTTTTGTTTACCTTTCGTTGCAATTAAGGGCTTTTCTCTTTATCTTTTTAATGGGGATCTGAAGACCTAAAACATACAAAAACCTCTTTTAGATACATGCTTCCAAGAAATTATGTCTATATATTCCTCACAAATCTGCACATGGTTTTATTGTCACTCAATTGACAATTGAATTTCTCATTTTACAAACACCTTAAAGCTTTTGATTTATATGGACCACATATGTTTGATTCTACAGGTTCGAGCCGGATCCGATGCGCGCGTGTCGAGAGTTTGTGTGATTCTGAAATTTTTGAAGATCAACAATGTTGTTGCTAAGGATTTAATATTGAACCGTGAAATTGAACTGAAACCGTGATAAAGGTTACTAATGTCGTCGCCGTCTACACCAAATCTCTAAAATTACACATGGAACTTGAATTCATGGCTGTGAAGGCGTTTCTACCTCTTTTCATAATCATCCTTGACATGTAAAATCTCCATAGCATCACCGTCGACGGTGAATCTGCCTGCGTCAAAGACGGCGCTACAAGTGGTTAGGTTTATAACAGGGTTGGACTCGGATATTTTCGCCGGAGTTTAATTGCCCAAGACCCATCGTCGAATGTCACATTAATTGGAAGCAGCAGTTACGATAACATATAGAATGAATTTTCTAAAAGTTGCTTAACTATAATAAGAAAGGTGGATAATCTCCTCAACGGATGCATCGGTTGCTAA